CTATAGACAGTCTGCGGGTGTAGATATGTCGGAACAACATAAATTGGAAGTATACTGGAAACAGTAGAGGGGGGCCAACTGAAAAAAAAGAAATCTGCTTGATCATCTTAGAAATAAACACATATATAATTAGTTGTGAAAGAAATCCCTATACTTGTATAGGAAAACAAGAGGCCCAGAGAGCTTGCATCGATCACCTGGATATTTGAGCAATCATGAGAAAAAGTTCTCCATAAAATTAATTTTGCAAATATTTCCATCCGTTGAGTCTCCTTGGGTAAGGAATGTTCTAAACTAAATGAAACTTTATACTATCTCAGCATGCTATTAGTCAAATATCACCACACTTGGCCTCCACAATATCATTGTTCTAGGTCTTTTGGTTATTAAGAAGAAGTTGTTTAAAGGTTAATGTAACATATTTAACCCTTGTGATCTTGAATGTAGGCCAAGGACATTATTTGATGAAAGTTTATAGCACTTAATGTGAGGTACCTACTGGCCAAGTATCATAACCATGGGCCTCCTGGTTATTCAGAAGAAGTTTTTCGAAGGTTTTTATATATTTGACCCCTATGACCTTGAAAATTTCCTGGCCAAAATATCATATTTCTAGGTGTGCAGTTCTTAAGAAGAAGTCGTTCAAATAAAAAGTCAACGACCATCTTGATTTTGTGGCCAGTACCAAAAAGTAATATGCATAACTAGGGACCATGGGGAACATTCATTTGAAAGTTGGGAAAGATATCTCTCCAGCACTTTCTGAGAAATAGCGCTAACAAACTTTACTCTCACATTAAAGATGGCTGCCAGTTGGCCATCTTAGTTTTCCAATCATCCTGAAAATTTGATATGCATAACTAGAGACCATGGAGAACCTTCACGTTAAATTCGAGAAAGATCCTCTAGTAAGTTCTGAGAATTAGTGCTAACAAACTTTAACTCTCAAATTCAAATGACAGACGGACCATAGACCATGGATGCAGGGTAATTTGAATAGCCCACGATCATCAGATGGTGGGCTAAAAATACTGCAAAATTATCCTTATTTGAGCTCCATCTCTCAGCCTCCATGGGGGCAGGCAATGCCCTTTCTTTATATACTATTTGATTACCAAATCCCGAGGATGCCTTACAGGAAACTTGGTTGAAATATGATGAGGGGTAATATCTGTTATTACCGACAGACAAAATCCCTTTAAATGGGGACGGTCTTGAACATCAGTCCAGGTCATTTAAAATGTATAGCTGTCTCCAAGGCTGCAAGTTACTTGCCATATATTAGAACTCTGACCTTTCCATTTTCTAGAACAAGTTGAAAGGATGAATGCAGGATTTTCGTAAGGGGAGAGCACCAAGGTCTATAAATGTGATCACCCACCATCATCCACCTCAATCACACCTCCAATACACACACATTCTCCCTCAGAGGGTTACAAGCCACCCACCCATCACCCCTAAAAACGCACACACTGTTAATATAAGCCCTCCACCCCCTACACACACACACACTCTGTTAATATAAGCCCTCCCCCTACACACACTGTAAATATAAGCCCTCCACCCCCTACACACACTGTTAATATAAGCCCTCCACCCCTACACCCACACACTCTGTTAATATAAGCCCTCCCCCTACACACACTGTAAATATAAGCCCTCCACCCCCTACACACACACACACTCTGATAATATAAGCCCTCCACCCCCTACACACATACACACTCTGTTAATATAAGCCCTCCCCCCCACACATACTGTTAATATAAGCCCTCCACCCCCTACACCCACACACACTCTGTTAATATAAGCCCTCCCCCTACACACACTGTAAATATAAGCCCTCCACCCCCTACACACACACATTCTGTTAATATAAGCCCCCCCCCCTCCACACACACACACTCTGTTAATATAAGCCCCCCATCCCCTACACACACACACTCTGTTAATATAAGCCCCCCCCCCCCCACACACCCACACACTCTGTTAATATAAGCCCTCCCCCTACACACACTGTAAATATAAGCCCTCCACCCCCTACACACACTGTTAATATAAGCCCTCCACCCACACACACACACACACACTGTTAATATAAGCCCCACACACACACTGTTAATCACTCTGTTAATATAAGCCCTCCACCCCCTACACACACACACACACTGTTAATATAAGCCCTGCACACACACACTGTTAATATAAGCCCTCCACTCCCTACGCACACGGTTAATATAAGCCCTACACACACACACACACACTGTTAATATAAGCCCCCCACCCCCCACACACACTGTTAATATAAGCCCTCCACCCCCTACACACACCCACACTCTGTTAATATAAGCCCTCCACCCCCTACACACACACACACACTGTTAATATAAGCCCTGCACACACACACACACTGTTAATATAAGCCCTCCCCCCCTACACACACACTGTTAATATAATAAGCCCTCCCCCCCCTACACACACACACACACTGTTAATATAAGCCCCCCACCCCCCACACACACTGTTAATATAAGCCCTCCACCCCCTACACACATACACACTCTGTTAATATAAGCCCTCCCCCTACACACACTGTAAATATAAGCCCTCCACCCCCTACACACACACACACACTGTTAATATAAGCCCTGCACACACACACACACTGTTAATATAAGCCCTGCACACACACACACACTGTTAATATAAGCCCTACACACACACAAACACACTGTTAATATAAATAAGCCCTCCCCCCCCTACACACACACACTGTTAACATAGCTGTCAACCCTCCCTCATAAGGAGGGAGCGAGACTCCCTCATTTTAACCAAAAGTTACCAATCTTCCTCGAAACTCCCTCGTTCCAGTCCAAACTCACACAAACTCAAAATCTACATCCTGCGGTCAAATGATCTCCCAGTTACTGCAGGGTGTGTGCAATGATCATAACAGGAGTGTCTGAATCAAATGAATGTTTTTGGAACTATTTTGATACATTAAAAGGGAAGGATAAATTGAGCAAATCAGTTCTATTCGCATTCTCCCTCATTGGAAATGTGGAATGAGGGAGATCTCCCTCATTGGAGGTTTCAGAGGTTTACACCTATGTGTTAATATAAGTCCTTTACCCCCTACACACACACTGTTAATATAAGTCCTTTACCCCGTACACACACACACTGTTAATATAAGTCCTTTACCCCGTACACACACACACTGTTAATATAAGCCCTCCACTCCCTACGCACACGGTTAATATAAGCCCTACACACACACACACACACTGTTAATATAAGCCCCACACACACACACACACACACACACACACACACTGTTAATGTAAGCCCTACACCCCCTACACACACACTGGTAATATAAGCCCTACACACACACACTGTTAATATAAGCCCTACACACACACACTGTTAATATAAGCCCTCCACTCCCTACACACACTGTTAATATAAGCCCCACACACACACACACACACACACACACACACACACACACACACACACACTGTTAATGTAAGCCCTACACCCCCTACACACACACTGTTAATGTAAGCCCTACACCCCCTACACACACACTGGTAATATAAGCCCTACACACACACACACTGTTAATCTAAGCCCTCCACCCCCTACACACACACACTGTTAATATAATCCCTCCACCCCCTACACACACACACACACTGTTAATATAAGCCCTACACACACACTGTTAATGTTAGCCCTACACCCCCTACACACACACTGTTAATATAAGCCCTACACACACACACACACTGTTAATATAAGCCCTTAGATACACACCCTACACACACACTGTTAATATAAGCCCCCCAACCCCTACACACACTGCTAATATAGCTCTACACACACACACACACACTGTTAATGTAAGCCCTACACCCTCTACACACACACTTTTAATATAAGCCCTACACACACACACACAAACTGTTAATATAAGCCCTACACACACACACACACACTGTTAATATAAGCCCGTAGATACACACCCTACACACACACTGTTAATATAAGCCCTACACAAACACACACTGTTATTATAAGCCCTCCACCCCATACACACACACACTGTTAATATAAGCCCTACACACACACACTGCTAATATAAGCCCTACACACACACACACACACACACACACTGTTAATATAAGCCCTGCACACACACACACACTGTTAATATAAGCCCTACACACACACACACACACTGTTAATATAAGCCCTACACCCTGTACACACACACAGTTAATATAAGCCTTACACACACACAATCTGTTAACATAAGCCCTACACACACACACACTGTTAATATAAGCCCTACACACACACACACCCTGTTAATATATTAAGCCCTCCACCCCCTACACACACACACACACTATTAAAATAAACCCTCCACCCACATACGCACACTGGTAATATAAGCCCTACACACACACACACACTGTTAATATAAGCCCTCCACCCCCTACACACACACACACACTATTAAAATAAACCCTCCACCCACACACGCACACTGGTAATATAAGCCCTACACACACACACACTGTTAATATAAGCCCCACACACACACACACTGTTAATATAAGCCACACACACACACACACACTGTTAATATAAGCCCTCCACCCCTACACACACACTGTTAATATAATAAGCCCTCCACCCCCTACACACACACACACACTGTTAAAATAAACCCTCCACCCACATACGCACACTGTTGCACAAAACTAATTTAGCTAGGTTTAACTGATTTTGATTTTGTCTTTATATTTTAGTTGGCGTTTTTATGGTAAACCCCTGTGTTTATCTTCAGTGTTGATTTCATCCTTTCTGGAATAGTGTGATTGATATCTCAATCCTTCCATAATGTATTTTATACTACATTTTGAAATTACAATATATGATAAAGATTTGATGTCTGTGTCTTTTGCCTATAACATCGCATCTTGCAATTCTCAAATGATTTATTTTAATAATAATAATAAACAAGAGGCCTGGAGGGCCTGTACATATCGCTCACTTGAATACTTAAGCAATCAAAATATTCTCATTTAACACTGCAATATTTCCAAATTTGCTGTCTCTCCGCAACACACTTACATTAACGAGTCCCATCCCTGTACCCATTTTAGTGAGGGCATGGCTTATAGTATAATGTTGAATCCTATTGGGCCAAGGATCTTTACCAAATTTAGTTCAGATCCCTTCTTTTGTTAGAACAAAAAGGATTTTAAGATTTACTTCTTTGGGTCATGCCCCTTCTGCCCCAAGGGGAAACACACCCACAAGTTACATAAAAGTGAACAACTGCTCAAAGATTTGTCAAATCTGAATCTGAAGACAGAAAAATATCTAAAAATTAACCACCACTTACCCTCTGGGGTACCATGACATCTGTTTATACATGTAATACAATTTACCAAAGGTTGCACAGCACCAAATATGGTTAAAATCCCTTCAATTATTCAAAATTAAGTCCCCTTTGCCCAAGGAAGATCAAGACAAAATTTGGTTAAAATCGTCCATTTGTACAGAATGAAAGATCTTAAAAAAATTACATAAATTTCCCTTAATAGGCCCTGCCCCTCGATCTGGCCCCAGTGGGGCCATCTGCTCCATTTACACAAAATCTGCCCAAAGACACTCTACACCAAAGGACTAGGGGCGTTAATGGTCATTTCCGGCCGCATCAGGGATTTAGAATTAGTTGCTATATTCGTAATCTGGAATAAATGCGCAAATATGAAATTTCAAATTCATTCTACACAAAGAAAGATATAAATCCACATTTTCATTATAAATTGCGTGAATATCATCTGTTGTGCATTGTTTGGTTGAAAATTGGCCATTTTGAAGGAAATTTACTAAACACTCTTCAATTTTTGAAAGCCTCCGCATGCAAAAAACAAATAAATATTTGACATGCTTAACCATTGTTATACCAGTGTTCATTCCTAGAAAGAAACTGTTGTTTGTCAGATGTGGAGGCTTTTATTGTTGCATGTTATAATTAACTGTCCAAAACACCATATTTTGGCTATTTCTGCATAGCAACGCAGTTTCCTTGCGATGGTAGGGAATCTACCCATGCAAATTGGGAAAATCTACACCAAAAAAGATAGCCCTTAAAGTAACCAATATATGATGTTCATAACAGAAATTGGCAAATAAATTAAAGTTGAAATTTTCACTTCTTGTGGCTAAAAAATGCCAGCCACAGTAAGCTCACCACTCCTTTAAACCAGGTGAGCTAAAAACCTGATAATTAGTTTTATTGTATACGTAACTTCTATAAAATAACTGATTAGAACATAGTCGTCTCTCTATTGTTTTGTTCTGATGTCATTATACCCGAGGAAACAACATTACATGAGTCATTCCCCTTTGATCCTAGTAATGCATTGGCCACTTTCTGAATCTGTCAATCCCAAATTGTATTTTTAAAATTAACCTTTTATATGTTGGAATAAATTGTGGAATGACTTATATATAAAATATATTTTAAATGAAATGCCAACTTCTTGATATCAGACTTTAACTAATAAACATTATTTTCATTGACATATTGGTCAACGTATCATTATTTCTGGCTATATCACTGTGTTTAATGTTATTTCTGGCTATATCACTGTGTTTAGTGTTATTTCTGGCTATATCACTGTGTTTAGTGTTATTTCTGGCTATATCACTGTGTTTAGTGTTATTTCTGGCTATATCACTGTGTTTAGTGTTATTTCTGGCTATATCACTGTGTTTAGTGTTATTTCTGGCTATATCACTGTGTTTAGTGTTATTTCTGGCTATATCACTGTGTTTAGTGTTATTTCTGGCTATATCACTGTGTTTAGTGTTATTTCTGGCTATATCACTGTGTTTAGTGTTATTTCTGGCTATATCACTGTGTTTAGTGTTATTTCTGGCTATATCACTGTGTTTAGTGTTATTTCTGGCTATATCACTGTGTTTAGTGTTATTTCTGGCTATATCACTGTGTTTAGTGTTATTTCTGGCTATATCACTGTGTTTAGTGTTATTTCTGGCTATATCACTGTGTTTAGTGTTATTTCTGGCTATATCACTGTGTTTAGTGTTATTTCTGGCTATATCACTGTGTTTAGTGTTATTTCTGGCTATATCACTGTGTTTAGTGTTATTTCTGGCTATATCACTGTGTTTAGTGTTATTTCTGGCTATATCACTGTGTTTAGTGTTATTTCTGGCTATATCACTGTGTTTAGTGTTATTTCTGGCTATATCACTGTGTTTAGTGTTATTTCTGGCTATATCACTGTGTTTAGTGTTATTTCTGGCTATATCACTGTGTTTAGTGTTATTTCTGGCTATATCACTGTGTTTAGTGTTATTTCTGGCTATATCACTGTGTTTAGTGTTATTTCTGGCTATATCACTGTGTTTAGTGTTATTTCTGGCTATATCACTGTGTTTAGTGTTATTTCTGGCTATATCACTGTGTTTAGTGTTATTTCTGGCTATATCACTGTGTTTAGTGTTATTTCTGGCTATATCACTGTGTTTAGTGTTATTTCTGGCTATATCACTGTGTTTAGTGTTATTTCTGGCTATATCACTGTGTTTAGTGTTATTTCTGGCTATATCACTGTGTTAAGTGTTATTTCTGGCTATATCACTGTGTTAAGTGTTATTTCTGGCTATATCACTGTGTTAAGTGATATCACTGTGTAGTTTAGTGTTATTTATTGTCATTGTGCTGTGGTTCAATACACAAAATAATTTAACTGTATTTCAGCTGACTAATCAGTGTCACTGTGACCAGTAATACTATCAGTACAGATGATTTTCCTTGAAGACTTGAGGGAGGAGGAGCATCCACAATCTTGCTGCTTTATAACTATGCAACATTTTTTGTTATATTATAATTACTAGAGCGTCGCCAGGATGGCTGACTAATACCCCCGCTTCCGCCAAGTTATGTTTATTTGAAAGTTATACTTCAACGTATTTAGCAGGATAAATAATATTTTTGTTAAAGGGGCATAACTCCATCAAAAAGGGTCGAAATCCCAAATTAAAATGCCGGTGCACAACCACATAAGATACCGATCATTCATGCAAAGGTTCAATGAAATCCACCTGTTAATTAAGGAGGAGTTGTGCGGACAAGTATTACGCAAAAAGGGGCATAACTCCATCAAAAAGGGTTGAAATCCCAAATTAAAATGCCGGTCCACAACTACATAAGATACTGATAATTCATACAAAGTTTCAATGAAATCCACCTGTTAATTAAGAAGGAGTTTTCCGCACAAGTTACTGCGGACGACAGACAGACATCCAGACAGACAGACAGACAGACAGGGTGTTTCCAGTATACTCTCCCTAAACTTGTTGCGGGGGTATAACTAATAACAAGAGGTCCAATGGGGCCTGTATCACTCACCTGCTATTAATCTTACACTTTTAAATAGCCTTAATAAAGCTATAGACTAAATATTCTTGACCTATGACTCTTGGTTATTCAAAGTAACCTGTTACAAGGTTTTAATACATTTGACCCAAGTGACCTGTAAAGGTTTTAATATATTTGACCCAAGTGACATGTAAAGTCTAACAAGGTCATTCAATTAAGCAAATTTGGTTTCCCTTAATCCCATATATTATCACCTGGTGACTTCTGGCTATTGAAAAGAAGTTATTTAGAGATTATAACACATTTGACCGCTGTGACCTAGAAAATTGGTCAAGGTCATTCCTTAAAAAAAGTTGGTAGCCCTTCAACCCTGCTACTGGCCAAATATAATTACCCTAGTCATCTTGGCTATTCAGAAGAAATAATTGAAGTTTTTAGTACATTTGACCCCTGTGACCTTGAATATCAAAATATCAAACTTTGTATAACTACATCTCTAGAAGCTACCAGCTAAATATCACCACACAAGGCCTTTTGGTTCTCCAATATGAAGGTTTCGTGTGAAGATTTTGATAAATCTGACCCCTGTGACTTTGTCAGGGTTTAACTAAAGAAGCCACCATTAAATATCATGATTCTATGCCTTTCCTTTCTTTAGCAGAACTTCAGTAGTTTAAAGGAAAACTTGACAGACGCAGACATCACATCACAGCTAAAGCTCACTTGCCCTGTGAGTTAAAATACCAGATATTTATATTTTGTAAGCCTATGTTAAATGTATCAGTAAATAATAATTCAACTTACTTATAAAAAAATATTTATGCTGCAGGTTGAATGGCATGGATTTACTCCTTGTTTTTGCAACCTGGAATAGATATGTGAAAATAGGTAAGTGTATGTTATATAGCTATAGATATACAGTGTACTACATAAATCATTGCACTCATAGATCATTAAACAGTGTACTAATAGTTATTTAAACCATGTACCATAAAGTTCATAAAACATTGTATTATGTCAAATTAATTATTAAACATCGTACCAATAGATCTTTAAACAGTGTACTATATGTAGTTCATTTAACAGTGTACTTCATAGATCAGTAAACAGTGTACTACATAGATCATTTAACAGTGTACTACATAGATCATTAAACAGTGTACTATATATATCAGTAAACAGTGTACTACATATCTGTAAACAGTGTTCTACATAGATCAGTAAACAGTGTACTACATAGATCATTGAACAGTGTACTACATCGATCATTAAACAGTGTACTATATAGATTGTTAATCAGTGAACTACATAGATCAGTAAACAGTGTACTACATAGATCATTGAACAGTGTACTACATAGATCAGTAAACAGTGTTCTACATAGATCATTGAACAGTGTACTACATAGATCAGTAAACAGTGTACTACATAGATCAGTAAACAGTGTACTACATAGATCATTGAACAGTGTACTTCATAGATCATTAAACAGTGTACTACATAGATCAGTAAACAGTGTACTACATAGATTGTTAATCAGTGAACTACATAGATCAGTAAACAGTGTACTACATAGATCAGTAAACAGTGTTCTACATAGATCAGTAAACAGTGAACTGTATAGATCAGTAAACAGTGTACTACATAGATCAGTAAACAGTGTACTACAAAGATCAGTAAACAGTGTACTACATAGATCATTGAACAGTGTACTACATAGATCGTTAAACAGTGAACTACATATATCATTGAACAGTGTACTACATAGATCATTGAACAGTGTACTACATAGATAATTGAACAGTGTATTCCATAGATCAGTTAACAGTATACTACATAGATCAGTAAACAGTGTACTACATAGATCATTGAACAGTGTACTATATAGATCATTGAACAGTGTACTACATAGATCATTAAACAGTGTACTACATAGATCAGTAAACAGTGTTCTACATAGATCATTGAACAGTGTACTTCATAGATCAGTAAACAATGAACTACATAGATCCTTAAACAGTGAACTACATAGATCCTTAAACAGTGAACTACATAGATCATTTAACGGTGTACTACATAGATCAGTAAACAGTGTACTACATAGATCAGTAAACAGTGTACCACACAGATCGTTAAACAGTGAACTACATAGATAAGTAAACAGTGTACTTCATATATCATTGAACAGTGTACTACATAGATCAGTAAACAGTGTACTACATAGATCAGTAAACAGTGTACTACATAGATCATTGAACAGTGTACTACATAGATCATTAAACAGTGTACTACATAGATCAGTTAACAGTGTACTACATAGATCATTAAACAGTGTATTACATAGATCAGTTAACAGTGTACTACATAGATCAGTAAACAGTGTACTACATAGATCATTGAACAGTGTACTACATAGATCATTGAACAGTGTACTACATAGATCAGTTAACAGTGTACTTCATAGATCATTGAACAGTGTAATACATAGATCATTGAACAGTGTACTTCATAGATCAGTAAACATTGTACTACATAGATCAGTAAACAGTGAACTACATAGATCATTGAACAGTGTACTTCATAGATCAGTAAACAGTGTACTGCATAGATCAGTGAACAGTGTACTACATAGATAATTAAACAGTGTACTACATAGATCATTGAACAGTGTACTTCATAGATCAATAAACAGTGTTCTACATAGATCAGTTAACAGTGTACTCCATAGATCAGTTAACAGTGTACTACATAGATCAGTAAACAGTGTACTACATAGATCAGTAAACAGTGTTCTACATAGATCATTAAACAGTGTACTTCATAGATCATTGAACAGTGTAATACATAGATCATTGAACAGTGTACTACATAGATCAGTTAACAGTGTACTTCATAGATCATTGAACAGTGTACTTCATAGGTCAGTAAACAGTGTACTGCATAGATCAGTGAACAGTGTACTACATAGATAATTAAACAGTGTACTTCATAGATCATTGAACAGTGTAATACATAGATCATTGAACAGTGTACTACATAAATCATTAAACAGTGTACTACATAGATCAGTTAACAGTGTACTACATAGATCATTAAACAGTGTACTACATAGATCAATGAACAGTGTATTACATAGATCAGTAAACAGTGTACTACATAGATCATTAAACAGTGAACTACATAGATCAGTAAACAGTGTTCTACATAGATCAGTTAACAGTGTACTCCATAGATCAGTTAACAGTGTACTACATAGATCATTGAACAGTGAACTACATAGATCAGTAAACAGTGAACTACATAGATCAGTAAACAGTGTACTTCATACTAGATCATTAAATCTTGTACTGTGTAGATTATTAAACTGAGACAAACATTACATAACTTCGAAATTCATTCCATACTTCAAAATTAATATTAATATCAGTCAAAATCTGTCCCACTGGGAATATTTCTGTGAGACACTGACATCTCACTCCCATTCTCATGTGCATATCACATGCATTTTCATAGGGATCTTAATATTTTTACAGAACACAATTTTAACAGAGTCAGTGTACCGCATTTATGAAAACGATTTACTCAACAGAGTGTAAATCGCTCAATAGCAAAAATCATAACGACCTTCATCTTGTGAACTGTTGTAAGCATGTGATATGCACATGAGAGGTCGGTACACAAAATGCATCAGTCCGCATTCCATGCGCTTCATATATGACCTTTAAGTTGTCTGGTCTCATGTCAGTGTTTTTCTGTGAGTCAGTTTATGTCTTTGTATCAGAATCTTTATTTACGAAGTACGTGTGATTACACATTTCCCAGTTAAGTCTCAATATTAAGTGTTACATGTCATCGGTAATCACCTGTACTTTCGTTTACCCAGTGTTTCTATAATTTACACTACGGTATTGAAATACCCGATATGCAATACGGAAATGATGACATGAAAATACGACAAACAAAAAAATGTTCTCACGAAGGGTGAGAAGTCCTTAAGAATTAAGGCAATGTCATAGAGGTTAGGGTCATAGGTCAAAGTCACAAAAATGTTGCACAACACATTCATACTCATTAAGGCACATATGCATGTAAATGCAAATACTTGACAAGCAGGCCATACCTACAACTGTAAAACACTATGTCCAGGCCATACCTACAGACAACTGTATAATACTATGTCCAGGCCATACCTACAGACAACTGTAAAACACTATGTCCAGGCTATACCTACAGACAACTGTAAAACACTATGTTCAGGCTATAACTACAGGCAACTGTAAAACACTATGTTCATGCAGGCCATACCTACAGACAACTGTAAAACACTATGTCCAGGCCATACCTACAGACAACTGTAAAACACTTTGTCCAGGCTATACCTACAGACAACTGTAAAACACTATGTTCAGGCTATAACTACAGACAACTGTAAAACACTATGTTCATGCAGGCCATACCTACAGACAACTGTAAAACACTATGTCCAGGCCATACCTACAGACAACTGTAAAACACTTTGTCCAGGCTATACCTACAGACAACTGTAAAACACTATGTTCAGGCTATAACTACAGACAACTGTAAAACACTAAGTTCATGCAGGCCATACCTACAGACAACTGTAAAACACTATGTCCAGGCCATACCTACAGACAACTGTAAAATACTTTGTCCAGAACAATTTGTGGAAGAGCATAAAATATACTCTCAACAGCAAAACCTACAGCTCTATAGACAGGAAGAAGAGAAAGTGACATGCTCATTTCTCATTACCTGTACTGGCATCACTTCTCCAACTACAAACAATTTATCCATTGCTACATCAGGGTCCTTATCTATCTGAAAATAAAACAGAATTAATTAGTAAGCTTCTTTGTATAATGGTCCCCTATATAATACTGGTGTGGCCCTAGCTACAGGGTAGCTTAGATTACTGTAGTATGTGTTGTAACATGACTCAAAAAATACTTAAATAAAATCCTCAGAAATAGGTCATTCATACTACATCTCTAAATTATCAACCTGTGACATTTGGCCTATATCAGGTAATACATACCACATTTGGCCTGTATCAGGTAATACGTACAACATTTGGCCTATATCAGGTAATTTATACCACATTTGGCCTGTATCAGGTAATACGTACCACATTTGGCCTGTATCAGGTAATATGTACCACATTGGCCTGTATCAGGTAATATGTACCACAAATGACCTATATCAGGTAATACATACCCAATTGACCTATATCAGGTAATACATACCACATGTGGCCTGTATCAGGTAATACGTACCACATTTGACCTATATCAGGTAATACATACCTCATTTGGCCTATATCAGGTAATAAGTACCACATTTGGCCTATATCAGGTAATACATACCGCATTTGACCTATATCGGGTAATATATACCACATTTGGCCTATATCAGGTTAATACGTATCACATTTGACCTATATCAGGTCATACATACCACATTTGACCTATATCAGGTAATAGATACCACATTTGGCCTGTATCAGGAAATACATACCGCATTTGACCTATATCAGGTAATACATACCACATTTGACCTATATCAGGTAATACATACCACATTTGGCCTGTATCAGGTAATACGTACCACATTTGGCCTATATCAGGTAATTTATACCACATTTGGCTTACTACATAGATCAGTTACCACACCTATACTATATCAGGTAATTTATACCACATTTGGCTTATATCAGGTAATAAGTACCCCATTTGGCCTATATCAGGTAATACATACCACATTTGACCTATATCAGGTAAAACGTACCACATTTGACCTATATCAGGTAATACATAACACATTTGACCTGGTAATAAGTACCCCATTTGGCCTATACCTATATCAGGTAATATATACCACATTTGGCTTATATCAGGTAATAAGTACCACATTTGGCTTATATCCGGTAATAAGTACCACATTTGGCCTATATCAGGTAATACATACCACATTTGACCTATATCAGGTAAAACGTATCACATTTGACCTATATCAGGTTATACATACCACATTTGGCCTATATCGGGTAATACGTACCACATTTGACCTATATCAGGTAATACATTCCACATTTGACCTATATCAGGTAATACATACCACATTTGGCCTGTATCAGGAAATACATACCGCATTTGACCTATATCAGGTAATACATACCACATTTGGCCTGTATCAGGAAATACATACCGCATTTGACCTATATCAGGTAATACATTCCACATTTGACCTATATCAGGTAATACATTCCACATTTGGCCTATATCAGGTAATACATACCACATTTGACCTATATCAGGTAAAATGACCACATTTGACCTATATCAGGCAATACATACCACATTTGACCTGTATCAGGTAATACGTACCACATTTGACCTATATCAGGTAATACATACCACATTTGACCTGTATCAGGTAATAAGTACCACATTTGATCTATATCAGGTAATACATACCACATTTGGCCTGTATAAGGTAATACATACCACATTTGGCTTATATCAGGTAATAAGTACCACATTTCGCCTATATCAGGTCATACATACCACATTTGACCTATATCAGGTAAAATGACCACATTTGACCTATATCAGGTAATACATACCACATTTTACCTGTATCAGGTAATACGTACCACATTTGACCTATATCAGGTAATATTTACATTCTGTATGCTTAGACCCATTGACAAAAATTACATTCATAAATGCATAACACAGGTGTTCATAGAATCTCAGCACGTGGTTACTGATAATAACCTGATCACACAGCGTAGTAATACACTACAAAAACTACTCACTCGGAACGACCGAACTAGATGCTTAATTCTTACATTTTAAAATATTATTGAACTGTGCTTTGTGAAATATCCACGTATTCACGTGTCCTGTGCTACAAATAAACATTGAATATGGAACTACATTTTGCTGTGTTATTGTTGCTGACGGTTGCTAAGATCTCTCACGATAGTGTCACATTTCCCCGCGAAAAAACACTGTTCTCGCCACTGCGTTGCACCCGTGTATAAGCAGGAACAAACCCTGTTTATTTGTTTTATTCGTTGTTATATCGATCCACTGAAAGGATTCGTCAATGTAAATATAAGGAATGATATTTATTTTTTCAACATTTATGAGGTCATAACAACAATGGGTTTTTGGCAATATGTCCATAAATCCATTGTTGTTATGACCTCATAAATGTTGAAAAAATAAAAATCATTCCTTAAATACATACCACATTTGGCTTATATCAGGTAATAAGTACTACATTTGGCCTATATCAGGTAATACATACCACATTTGGCCTATATCGGGTAATATATACCACATTTGGCCTATATCAGGTAATACGTACCACATTTGACCTATATCAGGTTATATATACTACATTTGGCCTATATCAGGTAATACATACCACATTTGACCTATATCAGGTAAAATGTTCCACATTTGATCTATATCAGGTAATACATACCACATTTGGCCTATATCAGGTAATACATACCACATTTGACCTATATCAGGTAATACATACCACATTTGACCTATATCAGGTTATATATACTACATTTGGCCTATATCAGGTAATACATACCACATGTGACCACATTCAGGTTATATATACTACATTTGGCCTATATTAGGTAATAAGTACCACATTTGGCCTGTATCAGGTAATACTTACCACATTTGACCTATATCAGGTAATACATACCATATTTGGCCTATATCGGATAATATATACCACATTTGGCCTATATCAGGTAATATACTGAACAAAAAAAGAAACTCACAATTAAATTATGCAATCAATAGCCTATGATATTTTGAGAAATTTGTACAAAATTTTATATCAATATGAAGGGACAAGTCTACTCTTTACAAAACTGTAGAACAAAAGTCTGTGTGACATCACTCATGTCATCAGTAGCTACTCAAAGTGGGATACCCGCGAAAAACAAAATGACACTTCAGTACCTGGTGTGGGCACCTGTTGCATGAATCCCTGCACGGATTCTCCTATGCATTGAATTCATGAGAACATTTATTCGCCTTAAGGGAAGGCTGAATGTTGTTTGCAGTGAGAAAATCACGACAGACTCTGGCAACATGCGGTCGAGCATTGTCTTGCTCGAAAATTAGGTTATGACGTCTGAGAAGTGGAAGGACATGTGGTTGGAGGTTGGAGGATCTGGTCTTTATATCGACCGGCATTGAGGTTTTGATCCAGGACCACTAAGGGGGATTTTACTCCATGGGAGATGCCTCCCCAAACCATTACAGAAGCCCCACCGAATCTATCCCGTTCAACCAAGCATGCGTCGACGAAACGCGATATACCCTTTTTCTTCCGTCTGTGTGATACAGACAGAATCTAGACTCGTCGGTAACCATCACACGCCTCCATCGACCCATCCCAAACCTATTCAACCATGTCTGCGTATCCAGTCAAGACGCACTCGCCGCCTCCGTGGTGTCAGAGGTGGTCGACATAAGGTCGGCGCGCAATGATTCTCTCGACACGCAAGTGGTTCCTGGCAGTTTGAGGACTAATGGGTCTGCCATGAGTACCTAAGGTATGCGACGCAGTCTCTACAGCAGTCTTGAATCTGTTGCGCAAGTGCTACAATCGAATTGCCCTGTCTTGTCATGCGGTCGTTACACATGTGCGGTCGTTACACACGGACGACCACTCCTGGGACGATCGGAAACTAACCCAGTAGCACGGAAACGTGTACAGAGACGGTTAATTGTACACGGGCCAACACCAAACTGCCGTGCGACAGCAGTTTGGCTATGACCATCCATCAACATCGCAATTGCTCTACCCCTCTGAATTTGCGTTAAGCGTGGCATCTCAGTCAATGGCGAAATCAAAATGCCAACGTGGAAAATTAATGTGGCTGAACTTAGAGTATCCGTTGAGATTATTTGTTTGAAAAACTCCGGCTTGGCTTGATCACGCCGCGTGATTTGGACTAAAGAAGCTCACAAAGTCACACAATGACAT